CACAACTCCCATATGTTTTTCTGGAAACACACTTACTGCAAGTGTCATTGACAACTAGGAACCTTTTAAACACTGTTTCCGCTCTTCAGAAATACTGAAAGACATTTGTCCTACATCTGTTGAAATACAGATCTTTAAGAACTTACCATAAATATTTACAGATTCCTACTGTGTCATTAGCATATTTATCTGAGCTGAACATTAAACAACAGGGTATTTAAAATGTTAAGTTTGCTGCTGAGAAAGGAAATACTAACGAACTGGGAAACTGCTATATAACCAAACATATGATTATCTTAATAAATTAAACAGGATACACCGATATTAAAGCCTGCACAAAACACTTCATCCAATGTTCGTTCTCAATAAAAAAAAAAAATTACTTCATGAGGAGACTTCTGCTCACTGAAAGAAAATTGGTACAGGCCATAAAGAATCTTTGCATAGTGCACAAAGTCAACCTGAATGTGAAGCACCTCCTCTAGTATGTGACTCACATACCAAGACAGGCAGATTTTCATAGGCCAAATGCTGGTCAAGTCCTTGCTGAAGCTGGTGTACAGTTCTTCGAAATCTGGAGCTGCCAAAGCTTTCTCATTTATCTACACACTAATAGCTGCAGTATTGGTGCTGCTACGCTGGCTTAGAATAACAGTCAGCTCGAAGACAGTATCATTTAAATATTAACCACAGTATTTTTGGAATGAATTACGTATTCCTATTTTGGCAAAAATGGATTTTTACAGCTCACATTAGTGCCTTTAGAAGTAGAAAAGTATCAAATTACACATTATACTAACCAGCTTCCAGTAAGCATAAGTCATACTGCAAAAAACAGCTGTAATAATTCTTTATGTGTACTAAAGAGATGTTACCAATTTAAAGATTAGAGGTTTTGTTAAAAAGATTCAAGAAATGATTTTATAAATGCATACTCTGTACATGAACCTCTCTTGTGTTCTCATTCACAGACTTAACAGAAGTGTTACGCGATATCAGAAAGTGAAAACAAAGAGAAACAGTGCAACTGCTCAGCACTGCTCTCCTCTTCAGAACGGCAGAAAAAGCATGGTGGAAGCCAAGGAACAGGTTCCTTCATTCTTTCAGCTTTCATTACTCTGCAATGGTTTCATTAGACAGGCAAAGTCATTTCACAAGACAGATCAGAGTCACACAGCTGGTTTCTCAGCTCCTCCTGGTCAGTAGGAAAGCCGTGTGCCCGACTCCTCCAACTCACCTTTGCCATTTACCTGAAACATAGGGACTGGGGTGCCAAGTAAGCATCCACCCCTCAGTATCAGGTATTGCGGCTGGAGCACCGACTGAAGGATGTTGTAGTAAGCATCCATTTGTGTAAATCATTCCATCACAGCTGGCATCCTGATAAGCTAACATAACTCCCTGTTCTCCTGTTATTTCCACTGTGAAAATATTTAATTTTAGAATAATTTCAATTAGAGTGCTTTTGCAGAGATAGCTTAATTCCTGCATTCACATAAGACCATAATTAAGAAATGTTACAAGAGAGCTGTCCACTAAGCTGTCCCGCTTAGCACAACTGTCCTTTTCTACAGCTTTCCGCTGCTTTTAAGTAAAAAAAAAAAAAAAAAAAAAGTCTAATTGTTAACCAAAGCCAACTTCAACAAAAACACCCTGTGTTAAGGAGCCACCATCAAGACCACATGAACCATTTCTTTCCAACCTAGAAGAAATCCTACTAGTTTGTCTGTTTTCTTCAAAACAGAGTTAAATCTTTAAACTATAGTAAAAAAAAAAAATAGAGGACTGATACCATTTTCATATCCTAACAGAACTTTTTTACTAGTGGAGTTAAAAATTAAATGCACAAGTGGACAGCCACATAAGTTAACAACCTTTACAACAACCTGGAAAGCTGCTAATTAAAGCAGAATTTTATTACTCTTGTCTCTTCCAAAAGTGCATAATTAAGATTCAGAACTCCTTGGCACATAGCTCTGCAGACACTGAAGGTTTACACGAGAGCAGAAAGCAATGAGACAAATTTGTTGAAGAAAAATCTTTCAAGCACTTCTAAACACAAAGAAGTCCCAGGGCAAAACCTTGCTGGAGGCTGGGAAAAGTACTGTGGGGGAAGTGCCACTACATCCTTGCACCATTTGCTTCCCCAGCCACTCACTGTTGGAAGTTGTTAGGATACCAGGCTGAACAGATCTTTCATTTTAGCTAGCATTGATGTAAAGCACCCAAATATAAATAAATATTAAATGGAGGCTTACATGTTTAAGATATTTTGTTACCACAGAACTCCAGAAGTATCTAGGAGTCAGTCACCTAAATCATACAGGAGATACGTAAATGCTAATATGCTAAATAATCTACAGATCTGATCCTAAGTGTGCCAAAGTTAAGAGAAAGTACCAGGGCAGAATTTCCATAAGGTATGAAAACATGCATCAAGAGGGTTTGGAATTTTTTTCTAAAAAGATATATGCCTCCTATTTTTGTATTTATGAAGAAATAATTGACTACAAATCTAGTCTGGTGAGAAAGTGGGGAGAACAAAAGCCCACTTTTCAGCATCAGGTAGAATATATAATGACAGAACCACACTAGAAAAATTCAGATATTTAAAGTAAAAAATTACTGCATTGTATTACCAACACCATCCAAATTAATGCAGGAAGCCAGAAACCAACCCTTCATACACAGCTCAAGGAATTCTTCCTAACATAGCCTATCTCGATCCCTTATATATATATGATATGCTGACAAAGCAATCTAACACCCTCAGCAAGTCTGCAGATGGCACCAAGAGGAGTGGTGCAGTTGACACATCTGAGGGACGGGACACCATCCAGAGGGACCTGGACAAGCTCAAAGAGTGGGCCCACGTGAACCTCATGAGGTTCAACAAGGCCAAGTGCAAGGTCCTGCACCTGGGTCAGGGCAACCCTCGATGTCAATACAGGCTGGGGGATGCAGGAGTTGAGAGCAGTCGTGTGGAGAAGGGCTTGGGCATACTGGTGGATGAAAAGCTGGACAGGAGCCAGCAACGTGCGCTCGCAGCCCAGAAGGCCAACCGTATACTGGGCTGCATCAAAAGAAGCGTGGGCAGAAGGTCGAGGGAGGGGATTCTGCCCCTCTGCTCCGCTCTGGTGAGAGCCCAACCGGCCGCCTGCATCCAGCTCTGGAGCCCCCAACATAAGAAGGACACGGATGTGTTGGAGCGGGTCCAGAGGAGGGCCATGAATGTGATCAGAGGGCTGAAGTACCTCTCCTATGAGGACAGGCTGAGGGAGTTTGGGCTGTTCAGTCTGGAGAAGAGAAGGCTCCAGGGAGATCTGACTGTGGCCTTCCAGTACTTAAACGGGGCCTATAGGAAAGATGGGAACTGGCATTTTAGCAAGGCCTGTTGTGATAGGACAAGGGGTAATGGCTTTAAACTAACAGAGGATAGATTCAGACTGGAAATAAGGAAGAAATTTTTTACAGTGAGGGTGGTGATACACTGGCACAGGCTGCCCAGAGAGGCGGTCGATGTCCCGTCCCTCGAAACATTCAAGGCCAGGTTGCACGGCGCTCTGAGCAACCTGGTCTGGTTGAAGATGTCCCTGCTCACTGCAGGGGGGTTGGGCTAGATGACCTCTAAATTCCCTTTCAACCCAAAGCATTCTATGATTCTGTGACTCTATGAACTCTTCCCCAAAAAATTAAGGAAGAAAAACCTTTAAAGCCATGAAGTATTTCCAAAACAAATGCAAACCCAAGTAAGATCTAAACCTTTTGCTGCTATATGAAACAAAAATCTCCTTCAGTATTACTGTATTGAAATAAGCTTATGATTATTCAATTAATTATTCTGCCTAATCAAAGTTTCTTCACCTCACAGACAACATGACTGTGAGGAGGAGGAGATGTGAAAATTCAGGAAAAAAAGAGCAGTCCCCACACCTTGGAAAACTGACAGCTTTTGCTTTTTGGGTTTTACTGGGGGTTTGGGGGGGTTGTTGGTTTTTTGGGTTGGTTTTTTTAGGGGGAAGGTGGTGTTTTATTTTGTTTTTTGTAGAAACAAAGAATGATAATAGCAACAACGATTTTAAAACTAAACAAACAACAGGCTTTCTGAAAGTTATGTAACACATTCACCAAAGTACCATTTTACTTTCTCTTAACTTTAAGCAATTAATTTTTCAGCAATGTTTTGAGTAGCTACCTTACTAAAAATAATCCTTCCCATTCTAATGTGCCCAGCTGTTTGAAAGAAGCTATGCACTTCTAGTTCTCATCCTCAACTCAAAAACGTTTTTGCAGAAGAGCATTTTTATTTAACACAGGGGGGGGGGAAATGTATTTTTGTACCTTTGCACACAGATGAAGACAAAAGCTTCCCAATACAAACAAAATAACGGATCCTGGCACTTCTGCCATCTAAGGCATGCAAAGACACACTGAAATTACAAGCTGATCTCATAACTTTCACAAGGCGTTGATGGCTGCAAGCCTTATTCCTCAAAGGAGCTTTAAAATAAAGGCTTAGGTGAATCGACACCATAAGCATACTCTGTTTAATGCTGTTTTCCAAGACTAATTTATCTATGTAATACTTAATGTAAAATCAGACTGGAGCATAACTTTTGCATACAGTATTCCTGTTTAATGTTGATAGTATCAAGCCAACTCTTTGGAAAGAGCAGGGACATATCTAATGGTCAAATTTGCTAACCTATCACAGTAAGGCTCTCCCTGCTCCTCCCAATACAATTTTTAAGAATTTCAGTTGCTTTTTCCACCCTGTAACATCCTAATTCATGTTCTATTGTTTATTGTGATTGGCTGGGATAACAACATTATTTTAATCCCCTCTAAAAGATACCGTGTTGTGTTGGGGAAAAATGAAGAACCTCAGTTGCGCTGTAGTTTATGTGCACAACAACTACACAACGTTGCCCAGTATCTGTTCACAAACACAATGTTTTATTTTTTAATTTCTAAGCTGATAAAGAATTGCCATGCTTTACCTGCGATTTCATCTCATAAAGCGTAGCATCCTCTGGAGTTAACTGAAGTGCTTCATCCCACTTGTGAATAGCCTCTCGGTACCTGCAGTAAAAACAATATTAGTCTCACCATATTTCAAGGTATTAGATACTACTATTTTTATCCTGACATTGTCCTAAATAAAGTGCCATGGTTTCTCATTAGTATTAATGATTTTTCTAACCACTTCCCTATAAGACATGCTGAACTGTTGTCAGGAACCGGCTATTTGTTCTTCTGAGCAAATGAATGCTAAGTACTATTGTACAACTGGTCTCAAGTGAATTTACAAGTCAACACAGGAAATCTATGGCAAAGCAATGGCTTAAAACTAGAAATCTTGAACTGAATCCAAGTCCCTTCATTGTCAAATCATCCGTAGTCAGGCATAACGAAATGCAATCTGAACTCAACACACCTTGCTACAGTCATCATTTAAAATTTCTTTTCAGCCCAAAAAGGCTGAAACATAGGAGTTGCCCTCCTGCATTTTTGTACTGAAGATACTTGAGTAACTTTGGTTTATAAATACAAGAACAAAGTTGACAGCAAACAGTTATACTGAAATCATTCAACTCCGGGAAGATATACAGTAGCTTCATAATCTGTTGCCCCTTCCTAGCAAACTGAAGAGTTGACTGAAACCAGTAAAACGTAGGTCTGTCTCGAACACAGAGGTAAAAGCTGGACAAATGCATCCTAGGTTTTTGAACAATATTGGAGAACTGTAGCAGCATAAGACAATGGGGTTACAAGGGTACAGTCCTTCAGCCCCAAAGGCAGTCTCAGATTAACGAGTCTGTAGGGTGCCACAAGTTCTCTGAATCCATTTCAAAATCCACCTTTGTTATGGAACTGCATAGGAACTCCTAGATCTATATTAATTTCACTGCAAAGGTATGAAAACAGTTATTTTTGATAGACACACACTGAAACTTTAATACAGTATAGATAAAGCTAACGTAATTTTCACATGCACTTCATATAGAAACCATTTTTATCTTCCCCTATTCCCCATTCTTCCTCCTCTCTCCCTTCCCCATTTTTCACTCCTCCAGCTTGTATTGCACTTCCAGGTTTTCCAGAGCAGTCACACAAAGACTTCAGAAAGTTCTGAACCAATTGGAAATAGAAGAATAGACTGGAAAAGCAATGCAACTGAAGTCAAACTCTCATTCTGATCAGGTATTATTACTTTGTAAACGACACTGTGAATTACGTTTAGCACTCAAATGTCAGTAGAAGCTTTCAACTGCCACTTAGTTAGCAAGAACTAATTTTTGAGTAGAAGATGATAATTTTGTTCAAGACCTAGCACAGGCATAGCACAATAAAAATTTATATGAGTAAGGGAAATCCTCAGCTCAGTTAGGTGGTGTCCTGGCTATGCAGTAAGGTGTAATATTGTCAGTGTAGCAAAAAAGTTTAGAAGCATATGATTCTGGAAAAGAGAGCAAACACAGTAACAAAATCAGTAACCAGAAAGGAAGGAACAACGTTGACATTCTGGAAATGGAAATATGTAAGTTAAAGTCACTTTCAAGAATCACCATTTCTGCTTCTGTGGAGGAGACATCACTGCTCAAAGTGTCAATCTGAATGGGATAAAAACTCACAGCAAGAACACACTACCTCTGAAGGGAGCACCAAATTTAGAAAAATATTCCCCCAAATTCTGTTGGGTTTTGCTGCCAATTTTTCAACAGTCTGCCAACAGAATAAAGATGTGCAAGGGAAAAGAGGTTGTCCATTCGCAGAAGTGCTGTGCTATGTGTGGTCTGTGTATGAACAGCAAGTTACTCAACTCCACCTGCGAGCCTCAGAAAGTGTGACCCAAAAGAAGCGATGACAGAATGCCAGGATCACTTGCCAGGAAGGAGAACACAACAGAACACAGCTGGAGAAGGAAGATTCGTCTGCAGGTACATGCTAAACCACTGCTAAAACGACTGATTGCTGACTACCAGTTTACAGGATGGACATGGTCACACTGTTGTGAAACATCAATCTTTGCAGTGCACATACTTCTTTAAAAAGAAAGTCTGATAAAACATAACTGTTCTATTCTTTTGCAGATTTTCAGGAAAAAAAAGATATTCTAGTTGTTGTTCCAGGAAAAACCAAAGACACTGTTCTTATTAAAAAGAAACTGAGTGATGTTAATTGCTCTAATAAAGCAAACTTAGGGAAAAATTCCTTTCTATAGTCTTTTAATCAAAGAATTTTCTACCTCATTCTTTTGAAGGAAAAAGATTATATACTACATTAAATATCAAACGCCCCACTGAAAAAGCAGCCTGGGGATATAAGGTACAGTTATAAAGTCATGTTCCAGTAAATGTTTTATGAAAACCATAAACCTTGGCTGAAATAATAAGTGAATTAACACAAGGGTAGTGTTGTAAAATAAATAATTAAAAAATAGATCATTTTACTGTCTCTCAGTATCTTTCTGAGCTGAATTGTACAGGACCTTTAGCATTATAAGGAGGAAGAAATAATTCTGAAAAGGAAAATGTCAATATAAATATATCTGCATTGGGTTTTATTAACACAGATTAAATGCACATTCCATTTGCTATTCCCATTTCTTTTCTTAACAAGTAAATAAGCTCACACACAGTTGAGTGACTAGCCAGTAACAAGCACATACGGATCAGCTAAGCTGCAAAACCTACAATTACATCGCTGGCAAAACTGAAGTAACAAATTTCAGCTTAATGCTCTCCACTGAGGTCTACCTGAGCTTCTTCCCATATGCCTGACACAGAAAGAGAGCACGCATGTTCAGAACACATGCTACGGCACAGCCGATGCACTGCAACATGGATTTGAATTTTATACACCTTCAGAAAAAGGTCTAGCACTTCAAAAATTAGAATAACTTGTATCAAAAATAACATCTTGGAAACTAGAATTCAAAAATCACAGATCCATCCACTGGTGATGCTGTAAACCTCCTTCAGAAACCTCTGACATTTATCAAAGTGGAGATTAATCCCAAGCAATATTTGAGTGGGGGCCTACTGATCAGAAAGCAGCTTTGTTGATAAAAGACCTGGGGGACAAATTGTTGAGTACCAGACAGCAATGTGCTCTTGTGACAAACAAGCCCAACAGCTTCTTGGTCTGCCTCAGCATCACCGTCAGACAAAGTGGTGATCTACCTCAGCTCTGGTGAGATCACGTCTGGAGTGCCTGATCCAGTTCTGGGCTGCCCAGTATGACAGAGACATGGACAAACTGGAGTGACTCCAGAAATGGGCCACAAAGAAGATTAAGGGCTTGGAGCATCTGTCATCTAAGGAGAGGCTAAGAGAGATGGGACTATGCAGCCTGGAGCAGGGAAAGCTCAAAGGGGATCTTACCAAACTGTAAAAATGCTCAATTTGGAAGCAGGGCAGGGAGTAAATAAGATGGAACCAGACTCTTCTCAGTCATGTCCGGTGACAGGACAAGAAGCAATAGGCACAAACTGAAGCACAGGAAGTTCTGTTTAAACATATCTCCATCACTGGAGATATCCGAAACCCAACTGGACAACATCCTGAGTAACTTGCTCTAGTTGACCATACTTTGAGCAGGAGTTGGAGTAGAAAGTCTCCTAGGGTTCCTTAGGATTATATGATACTAAGATATCAGCAACGTCAGTGATACATGATTTAAGATGAAATATGATTCTCTCTTGTGTAAATGAAAGAAAAAGTAAGTAAAATACAATCTTACAGCAAACAGACTTATTCATTTTTAGATGTCTGAGATTACTATAAAAACTTATCTAATGAAACAGTAAAGAAGTCACAGAATATTGATAATGGGCATATCTTGATATTATAGAATACTGAATGAATTATTTCCAGCAAAAGTAAAATCATACTCTGCACATATATTGTAACTAAGCATCTAAACTCCAGAAATATAAAGCATTTTTAAGAAAAGACTATCATATTTTGAAGCATTTAATTACTTTGTGTGCGTACAGAGATACAGTATAGTTAATTATATCTACCCGCAGTGATTTCAGTAAAATAGCACACCTCACTACAAAAAATTCTACAATTATAACCACAATTTCATAATCGTTTTCTCTTCTTTATTGCAATGCCATTAAAAGGAATAAATTATTGAGAACTAGATACATCTGGAATGGCTTCAGTGTAGAAAATTTGATAGATATTGCCAATTTTTATTCAACAGCATATGAAATCCCATAGCTTCCCTAAAGTACTAAAACTGGTCTCTTCAGACGTGCTACTGACCATCTGGGAGCTATACAGACTTGGCATGTTTTACTACAGCTTGCTAAACTTCTGAAACAAACACCTCATGCTTACACTTCACTTTCAACAACACTTCTAGGAAAACAGGATCTCTTGAACTCTTAAACAAAATCACTAGAACAAATTTGCATTTCCATAAAAAAAAATATTTACTTGGAGGCTCTTGGGTAAAAAAAAATACCAAACCTTGTTCAAGTTACACAGATATCAGTTTCCAAATCATACATATACATATACGTATATAATGTTAAAAACCATCATCGCAGATCACGTAGGATCTAGAGTCCTGGAGCTTTACTCTAACAGGCTTGCCACAGTTGATGCTTCAGCAACACACTGAGACAGGGCATGCTCAGAGCGACACTGAAAATACCTGAGATATACTGAAGAGATGAGATGGTACCAAATTTAGACAAAATGAGACAGGCCTGCAGGAGGGATGCCGATCACAAGAGTACGGTGTCGGGAGAAGGGGCAAGGCAAGGTAACTCCTACAAATTTTTAGAGACTTTGGAGGGACATTCCTATAATCTGATGTTACAGGAGGATGAGGAAAAACAACATTAGACAGGGCTAAGGGAAGGAAGAGGAAAATAAGATTTTAAAAAGAATAAGGCTAATTGTCAAATACTCATATCATATCGTATAGACAATGAATGTGAATTGCTTGTGGCCACCAGAAACACCAGCTAGAACAATATTAACCTAGTGCAGGGTCAAATTCAGACTTTGGTGGAAGCTAGAGAAAAAGAATACTAGGATACAGAGCACATAAAAAGGAAA